TTAAAAGGATATGGGGGTTGGAGGAGGGCGAACCTGAAACAATTCCTCATTAAAAAAGCTAGAACAGTTTAAACACCAAAAATACCCATAATGCTTGCTTCTAATTCAAAGCATAAAATAAGCATATGAGGCCACTTCAATATAAATTATTAAATAAGCAAATGAGAAGAGCTGGTTCTTCTTCATAAAACAATCCAAATATGTATAGATACTGTCCCCTCTAGGAAGTAGAACTTGTTCCTTCCCTTCTTGAGAAGACTAAACTAGACTTTGGTTTGTTTTCAAGTAATAGTGTATGATAAAGAAAAAAAATGCTCCAATGGAAAAAATTGGCAAGCAGTACTGAATGAGTAACGTAAACATCACCAGTGATACCAGATATCTCCTGTAATACTGGGATGAGTGGCTCCTTCTCTAAACCCATGAAACTGCAGATGAACCCTAAGCTGTCATGGAGATTCAGGATGTTGGAGATGCCAGGACTGTAGCATGACTACTGAGAAAAACTATCAGCACACAATGGAGCCAACTCAAGACTTTATATGTGCAGGTATCCTAGATCCTAGACATGAAGCTGAAGGATCTGGTCTTTACCCCCGCTAGCCTTCTGGTTTGCTTCCATCTGTTTCCCTGCTTACACCCCATTGCCTCCTCCCTATATTTTGGAATAGAAATGTTTACCCCATACCATTGTAGGTTGGAAGTATGTACTGTTGTTTTGAGAGAGGGTTTCTCTGTGTAGCCCTGACTGTCCTGGAACTCTCTCTGTAGACCAGACTGACCTCCAGAGATTCATCTGTCTCTGCCTCCGAGTGCTGGGAGGTGTGTGCCACCACTGCTTGTTTTTGATGTTATAAGGACTCGAAGTAAAGATTAGCTTAAGTCTCAGAGGAGACTTTGAACTTTGAATATTGTCCAAACTGTTAAAGACAATGGGGACTTTTAAAATTGGGCTGGATGCAGTTTGCATTCTAAGATTAGAGTTACATTAAATATACTGATTGGTCTAAGATTAACACAGTAGTTTCCAAGTCTTTGAGTTCTTTCTTCATTATTATATAGAAGTTTTCTTTATGTAGGCTATGGACATACTTGGTTGAACTAATACTTAATATTTAATAGTACTATATATAGAAATACATATTTAAATAACACTGACTTTAGTTAACTCAAATAACAGTCGTGGAAAGTGTTTTAAAGATTCTTTGAAATGGTCCACATGAATGAATACTATCTACAAAGAGAAATGGTTTTATTTCTCCTTCTATAGTCTTTCTAGTTTGTTATTTACAGCACTGGCTATGATGTCTATCCAGGATGACGTATGAATAGAAATGCTAAGAGTAGACATCTTTGTTTCCACCCTTTACTCAAGGGAAAAGAAGTTTGTGATTCACTATGTGTTACAGAGGGTGCAGGTTATAGAAAAACGTCTTAAATCACATTAAGGAAGTCCCCTCCGTGTCCATCTGCTGTCACGTATACCCTGTAAGCTCGTAAGGAGAAATGGGCTGTTTGGGTCTCATGGTTTCTGAGGGTCTAGTCTATGATCATCTGGCTCAGTTGCATTTATGTCTGTGACAAACCATCTCATCATGGTGGGAGTCATGGTGGAGAACTCCTCATACTGTGACTAAAAGGGGACCAGGGTTCCACGGTGCTCTTGAGTGGCACACACTCAGTGACATGAATATATCTAACTAGGTCCTCTAAGGATTCTGTCGGCTCCTGACAAGACTTGAACCCATGGACTTTTGACAGGCACTTATAAACCAAACCATGGCACTGCCTTGCCCTAGTTTGGACAGTTTGCATTTTTCATTATGAGCATACCTTTTGAGATGATGGTGTTACTTTTCTTTTTGAGTTTGTAGTAACAGGTAATGAGCCACACTGACACTAGAAAGCTGAGCCAGTGTTCCTCTGCAGGGACATTGTCAATTTTACAGATTCTGTATTCTGCCTGCTCAAATCTTCTCTAGTGAATTCTGTGCTGCTTGTTTTTAAATTTTAAGAAAGTATATACAGTATCTGGTTTCACCTTGTCATTTTCATACAAAAATTGTTAGGTTGATTCCCCCACTCTCTGTTCTCCCCCTTCCCCATGACCTCCCCCCTCCCCCCACCCCCATAGCTTCCTCTCTGCGTTCAGGTTGTGTGTGTCCTAATCTCTCCCTCCCCTAGTCTCTTCTAGCTTCTGGCCCTACACCCACACACATCTCACATACAAATGAATAAACATTGTGAGCTAATGTCTTGGTTTATTTTCCATTGCTGTAGTAAAAACACTGGTCAAAACAAACTGAAGGAAGAAAAGGTTTATTTGGCTTACACTTCCACACCATAGTCCAGCACTGAGGGAAGCCAACACAGGAGCTCACACAAGAACCTCAAGGCAGGAACTGAAGCAGAAGCCACGGAAGAACTCAGCTTACTGGCCTGCTCTTCCTTGTTTGCTCAGTTTGCTTTCTAATACACCCCAGGACCACCTTCCCAGGGATTTTTTAGGAGCATATAACTTGCTTTGCTAACAAAAGAACATAATTTTAAACATACACTTGAGAAATATTCTCACTCTGCATCATAATAAAATCCACATTTATTGTTACTTGATCATGAATAAAATAAATTACTAGAACACAGGGAGGTAGTTTAGTTGGTAAAGCACTTGCCAGGCAAATACAAGGACTTGAATTTGATCCCCAGAATGGTTTAATAAGTTGGGAACATTAGTAACTTTTCTGTTGCTGTGATAAAATACCATGACTGAAAGAAAGAAACTATGGAAGAAAGAGTTTGGCTTATGGTTCCAGAGGAGTAAAGGTCTATCATGGTGGGAGGCATGTCAGCAAACAGCATGCATAGAGGCAGAAGCAGGAAGCTGAGAGTTTGCATCATCAAACACAAATATGAAGCAGAGAGTCAAAGTAAATGAAACTATATAATCTCAAAGGTGTGCTGCTTTCAGGAATACTACACCAGCTAAACCTCCCCAAACAGCGCCACCAACTGGGAGCCAAGTTCGGTGAACTTCAGGCCCAACTGACAGACCCTGTCTCAAAAACAGAACAAAACAAGCCAAAACCAAAGCAAACAAATCCCCCAAACCCAAAACAAAACAAAACAAAACAAAAAAACGAGATGTGTACACGAACCTACAAGAACATGCAACCATAGGCCTGCACATAATCTCTCTCAAAAGAGATTGCTAACAGCCATGTAATGTAAGGATAATTCTGAGAGCATGAGTGCTTACTTGTTCAATTGATGTGAATACTCTCCAAAAGAAAACTGAGGAACACTGGGTCTTCCCAGTCAGTCATCCTAGCTGAGTCTGTGAGCCTCAGGCTTAGTTAGACACCTTGTCTCAAAAAAAATAAGATGGAGTGGATTAGTTAATTTTTTAATTGCTGTGATCAACACCATGACAAAGGCAACTCATGAATAAAAGAGTTTATCTGAGCTTGTGTTTCCAGGCGGGTAAGAGTTCACCATGGCAGAGAATTATGGCGCCAAGGGAGAGGCGTGGCAGCGGGAATAGCTTAGCAGTCACATTTTGAATCACAAGCAGGAAGCAGCCAGCAAACTGTGAATGGAGCCTAGCTTTGAGAAGCCTATTACCGGTAACATACCTCTTCCAGCAAGGCCACATCTCCCAATCCTTTCAAAACAGCACCACCAACTGGGACCAGGTGTTCAAATCCCAGAGTCTATGGAGGTCATTCTCATTCAATTACCACGTGGAGAATAATAGAGGAAAAGACACAATTTCAGTCTCTGGCTTACACATTTTCACACACACGGGCACGTGTACCTCTACACACAAACACACACATACATCACATGTACATACTTGTGCTCATGTACCTCTACACCCAAACACACATGCATACATCACACTCATATACTTGTGTTCATGCATCTCTACATACAAAACACACACACGAATACATACATCACATACACACATGGACACATGCATGTACGTCTACACACAAACACCTACACATTCATGCATCACACACACAAATGCTGTTTCTCTGAATCTGCAATGGTGTGTGCTTTGCTTCCATCTCAGAGATGTGCCACGTGTTCTGTTTGAGTTTTTTCTTTAGATAACTAATCTGCTCCTAACTCTACCACACTTCTGTCTCGTAAGCGGCACCTGTTGTCTGCATTTGCATCTGCAGTGGGGGTGTGTCATCAAAATGTCTAAGGCAGTCCACGTGGTGTAAAACTGAGGAATAGGTACTCACAATTTTTTTTCCTATTTAAATGTGAAAAGTGGTTTAAACTCTTTGATTCACCAAGTTGGAATTTTCTACAATTGGTTCCCTCTCTATAGACATTTCTCTGAGTAGACATTTGTTCATATCTCCCTCCGAAAAGTTCATGTACCATATGTAAATATGTATGGCATGAGGTCTGTTACATGTATGTGAAAAATGACTTTTATTGAACCAAAGGACAAACATCAGAAATTATTTGCATTCTGTTACCTGACTTCATAAATAACTCAATTTTACACACCATTTTCATTCCATATCGTTTACATTTCCCTGAAGGTGCTGTCCCTCAAAGGTCCATATCACTGTCCATTATGAACTTTATTTCTAGCTTATATTAGATGGTTTGACTATCTACTCTAATGTAATAAAATCTAACAGCTATTCCATAATGCAGAATACCTTGTGTCTTGAACATACTTCGGCCATAGCATCTGCTACACATATTGACATTAGGATTTTCTTTACCTCCTTCTTAAAAGCTATGTTCCTTGACCAAATGTGTAATTGATTTATTGTTGCTGTCCAGAGTGAATATAAGGAGGGGACTCAGAGCTGATTTAATGTGCTAGCTTTTTCTTTTCTGTCCCTTTTGTCCTGTGGTTGAACTCAGGGCCTTGCAAATGCTAAGCAAGTGATCTGCAGTTGATCTACCTCCCAACCTTTGCACCCTCCTGAAATCACCTCAAACTGAGTTCGAATTTGTTTTTTCAGGGACCTGTGACATTGAGGGATGTTACTGTGGAATTCTCCAAGGCAGAATGGAAACTACTGACCCCTGATCAGAAATCCCTTTACAAAAATGTAATGCTGGAGACCTACAGTAACCTGTTCTCTGTGGGTAAGAAGATCTTTCTTATATGTAACTTCTAGTAGTTTCCATTTCTTCTGCTATTTGCCGGCGGAACATGTCAGGTCTCTATAAAGTCAAGTGATACTTTGTTTCATGATTCAAGTGGGGGATACCAGAAAAAGCATGCATTTGTGTGTTCCTAACCGCTTCATTTAAGGAATAAATTTGTGAAACAGAAGTGGGAGCTTCTCTGTTTTCCTGAAATTACACCTCTCGTCCAACGAATTTCTGTCCTTTCCCTTATCTTTACCATTAACAGGTTATCGTGTGGCTAAGCCAAGTGTGATCTCCAAGTTGAAGAAAGGAAAAGAGCCATGGCCATTGGAAGAATTTTTACGTCAGAGCCGTGGTGGTGAGTTAGAAAAAAAAAAACATGTTGCACCCGACCCTTTGAAATAGCTGTCAAGAATACCTTTTGAAATAGTTAGGGAATCTTCCTAAATTCTCTCAAGTTCTAGAAATGGTAGAAGATACTGTCTTCATACATTTAAATCCTAAATCACACCAACTTTCCTTCTCTCCATGTAAATCTCTCTTTTATTAGACATTTTTATTTTTTATTAGACAATTTTATTTTTTTTAATAATGTATTTTTATTTCACGTGCATTGGCATTTTGCCTGCCTGTATGTCTGTATGAGGGTCTCAGATCCCTGGAACGAGAGTTGCATACAGTTGTGAGCTGCCATATAGGTACTCTGTGTGTGCGTGCGTGCGTGCGTGCGTGTGTGTGTGTGTGTATGTGTGTGTGTATGCGTGTGTGTGTGTGTGCGCACGCGTGCATGCGTGTGTGTTGGAAGGGTGGGGAGTGAGTGCCTTCGTGCCTATGGCTCATCTAGATTTCTCTATTCTTATGCAATTTAAGACTAGAACCCAGTGAGCAGTGCCTGTCGCCTTTAGATTCCTTCTTCCACATCCACTAACATAATCAAGCCATTGTCCTCGGATCACCAGATCTAGCTGACCCCTCTTTGGGACTCTCGAGATTGTAGTAGACAATGGTATAGAGGACAATTTCATTTGAGAGTGCTTCTGTCATGACACCCTTTCCTGAAGCCTAAGAATCCACCTTTAGCCATGATGGTGTGTTAAAATCTTGATTCGTTTGTAGATAAACGGCGGACCGCTCACGGCCCCAGAGCCAAACAGCAGGAGCAACAGGCTGGAAATACAAGGCAAGTTTAAGAATTAATATGTAGGACAGAGGCTTTCTGAGGAAGAATAGTCCTGTTTTCAACGCTGGAAGTGGGACAATAATTATTAATTACCATGAAATGTGGTAACACTAGCACAGGAGTGAACCCCAAAGAATGTGACCCAAACAGGAACGCCTTCCTGAGGGGCATGATGTAGAGTCAAGCGAGGCAAACTTTGTAGCTGCATTTTCATCCTTCTGAACTACACACTAGGGGAGGCCACATTATAGAAAGGGGAGTCTGGCCATTAAAAAACCCCGAGACTAGAATTCAGGAGAAGCCTCATTCTTTACAGGGCTTGGTAACAGTGTAGATCTGTGTCACAGGGAAGAAGCCCTGTGAACTTGACAAACAGGATTACGGAAACCATCACCAAAGGTATTCGGAGAAAGCACTGCATCCTGCATTGTAAGAGCTTTGAAAGTCCTATTACTAATGCTTTCTCTCTAGGAAAGGAGAACTCACAAAGGGTCAGAAAACTCCCGCCCAGCATGAAAGCTACGACTGTAGTCAATGTGGAAAGTCCTTCTGCCAGAAGTCTTCCCTCCTGGCGCACCAGGAAACACACACCAAGAAGTCCTATAAATGCGAGAAATGCGGACAAGCTTTCTATAAAGACGAAGAGCTCACAATCCATCAGAAAGTTCATACCAGAGATAAAACCTACCCATGTAAAGAATGTAACAAAATTTTCTATCACCTGTCGTCTCTCACTAGACATCTGAGAATCCATGCTGGGGAGAAACCGTATGAATGTAGCCAGTGTGAGAAATCGTTCTACCAGAAGCCACACCTCACAGAACACCAGAAAACACACACAGGGGAGAAACCTTTTGAGTGTAAGGAATGTGGGAAGTTCTTCTATGTGAAGGCATACCTCCTGGTGCATCAAAAGACACACACAGGGGAGAAACCTTTTCAGTGTAAGGAATGTGGGAATTTCTTTTCTCAAAAATCACACCTCACAGTCCATCAGAGAACACACACAGGGGAGAAACCCTATAAGTGTAAGGAGTGTGGGAAACTCTTCTCTAGGAATTCACACCTCAAAACCCATCAGAGAACGCACACCGGGGAGAAACCCTATAAGTGCAAGGAGTGCGGGAACTGCTTCTACCAGAAGTCAGCCCTCACTGTGCACCAGAGAACTCACACTGGGGAGAAACCTTTTGAATGCAGTAAGTGTGGGAAGCACTTTTATTATAAATCAGATCTCACCAAACACGAGAGAAAGCACACAGGGGAGAGACCGTATGAGTGTGCCGAGTGTGGCAAATCTTTCTCTGTGAACTCAGTCCTCAGATTACACGAAAGGACTCACACAGGGGAGAAGCCATACGAGTGTGAGATCTGTGGGAAGTCCTTCTCTCAGAAGTCACATTTTGTCATCCATCAGAGAAAGCACACAGGAGAGAAGCCCTATGAGTGCCAGGAGTGTGGGGAAGGCTTTATCCAGAAGTCACATCTCACGTCCCATCAGAAGACACACTCTAAGAAGGGAAAAGCTAGCAAATAGTGTTCAGAACCCCTGCAGGAATTCACCCTTTGGCTGTAATCCACACAGAAGGAGAACCTTCTAAGTATGGAGGGAAAAAAATCAGCCATGTTTGTTTGTTTTTTTCCCTCATAGAATAATCAGCAAATGTGCAGAAAGAAATTCTTCAGCGTTATTAGGTAGACCTTTACAATAGGGTCAACTTTCAGAAATATCAGGTGGCAGAAACTGTGCAAATGACAAAATGTGAAAGAAACTTTTCTTTTAGAAGTCACACTGATGCCATATAGAAATAACACAGGGCAGAAATCCAGTAAATGAATTTCCAGAAGTTTCTATCATAGCATCTAGCACTACACATGCAGAGTCCACAGTGAGGAACTCCCCTGGGTATCAGGCACTCAGAAGGCTCCTCACACAGTTGCACTCATCTTAAGAAGATGAAGGGGATTTCATGCATAGATTGCAACAAATAAAGCGCCTTATCGAGAACACGCCCATCCTGGAATGTTAACTGCATGAATTCTTTAGTTGTATTTATATAGGTATTTAAATATTTGAAATATCTTCAACAAAATTTTAAAAGAGTTTACCCTGAAGGCGCAGCGGTCAAGGTTATTTCTACTTCCTAAAAAAAAACCCATACACTATAAACAGAAACCAACTAATATCGTATATATCAAAGGTATTTAAAGAGCAAAACACAGGGTCTGGAGAGGTGCCTCAGAGGCTATGAGCACTGATTGCTCTTTCAGAGGTCCTGAGTTCAATTCCCAGTAACCACATGGTGGCTCACAACCATCTGTAATAGGATCTGATGTCCTCTTCTGGTGTGTCTGAAGAGAGCAACAGTGTACTCACATAAAATAAGTAAGTACATCTTTAAAAAAAAAAAGAGCAAAAAAACAGGAAACGTCATTAAACAAGTCTTTTGATATGTAAGATGTAGGTATGTGTGTGTGGCTATCTATAAAAAAAAAATTCTAAATGTGTGACTTGCTCATAGAACCCATCTGTGGTTGTTCTTGAGCTCAGTAGCTCTGTAAGGGCACATGTCACATTGTCTCAACAGTGATTCCCACCAGTGGCATTGTTCCAGTAACATATGTTGGTGTATACTTTAAATGCATATTGTGTCTTTTTGTCAATCTCTGGGCACTTACCAATGGGTTCAGACATTGTTACTAAATGGACCCTTGAAAAGAAACACTGTTTCTGTAACACTCTTTTTCAGCTATATCGTGATGGGCTGAATTTCGGGTTGGACGAGCATTTGAGCAGTCTGAGCTGTTTCGAAAGCATCAGTATTTACTTATCTTAGCTGTAGATGTGAAGCAGTGGCGTCTGTGTTTGTATTGTGTATGGAGAATACCTCATGGCTTTTCCTTCCTATTCTGGGTAGCAGAGGCAACATGGCCAGAGGCTGAAAGTGAGATTCTAGGCTCCTACCACCTTCTTTGACCAAGATTCTAGCATGTGGTGTAACTTCACTGTACCTCACCTTCTTCCTCTGTAAGAGTAATGGTAGTGACATCCTAGAATTGCCTTGAGGTTGAAATATGTTGCTATTTTGATGCACTCAGAACAGTGTCTTAAAAACCTAAGAACTCGGCATTAGATAGTATTCTCATTAATTTGGATTTTCCTGAATCACACAGTGAAAAGGTTGGCAGCCCAGAATTTATCTCCCACCTCATTCTTGTTAGTGCCTTGATTTGATTTGGCTGTGTATCTTCCCACGGAGGCTCAGGAGCAGATCCTGAGTAGGCAAGGTCAGGGATTGGTGAACCACAGCCCATTGGCCAGATCCACAACCCATTTTTTGTAGCCTGTAAGCTGAGATTAGTTTTATATTACTCAATGATTGCAAAAATTAAGTATTTTGTGACACATGAAGGTTGTACAAAATAAAAGTTCCGTATCTATAACTAAAGCACTTTGAGAACACTAACACAAACCCATTTGTGTACTTTCTGCCTATGCTGCCTTTGAACTGTGCTACCGAGGCAGACAACAGGGCCAGTAGAGCCTACGACATTGTGACTCAGCACTTTACCGAATAGGTTTCTGTTACTCAGGGCTGCACACGCTGCAGCCGGTCCTGAGCCCATTCTTTTTATGTTGTTTACCAAATGTGATGCCTCAGTATATTGGTGGGTGATTTCTGTGGAGTATATTTATTTTGTGCATTGTATTTATATGTAGAAAAAGCCTAGGCTTTGAAGTATTTTTTTTCACAAAGAAATGTGGTGTTGTTTTTTTTACTGAATTATTATGTTAAAACATATCTCCTGATGAAATGTAACACATATATGAAATAATCGTTGTTTCAAATAAATGGAATTAAATTTCAATCAATCTTTCCCCATGATATTCATTTATTTTCTTCCAAATCAGTGACTAATTTTTCTTACATAATTTATAATTTTCTTACTATCTCATAACATGCCATCTATATTATTATTTGTGTGTGTGTAAAAGAGAGAGAGAGCGCGCAGGGACACAGGCATGTCCCAGCTCACATGTGAGGAGGACCACTTCCAGACGTCTGTTCTATCCTTCCCCTGTGAGTTTTGGGGAACAGAGACCAGAGGTCAGGCCATCCAGCTTGTGCAGCAAGTGCTTTTATCTGCTGAGCCGTCTTACCATCCCCCCTCCATCTATATAACATTCAACTAATGTAACAGAACAAGAAAACTTAATGCCTAACTCCAGTTACATTAACTGGTAACCTTTAAAACTGTTCCTGTATTTCCCATGGATGAGCCTTGACTTATGGTGTTTTGGTGTTTTAAACTGGCTTTATAACAGCATGAACACAGTGCCCAGTGGGCAGAAGCCATTCTTCAAATTGGAAAGCTCCAACTCTTCCCAGGTGAGAACACGATACTCTTTTTCTTCAAACCTGACACCATTGCATAGCCATTGTCTCAAGCCATTAATCAGTAACCACAAAACCTGATCAAAGTCAACTATGAGGTGTCGACAGTGACTGATCGGGTAGCTCTTCGCTGGAGCCACTTTGGCCTGTGGTAGCTCCATGTTTCTGAAAGCCCGACCTAGCTTTCAGATTGACTGTTCTTTTGAAGTTAACTGACTGGCTAACACCTTGGTCTAGTGTTATGTGGTTTTTTTTACAGGAAAACTCAACCATTCTCAACAACACTGTTGTTTTAAAATGGACCCCTATTCCCTCCCACTTTGTATCATCTTTGCTTTGTCAGCAATTTATAAGTATACCCCTCCACTGGTTAGTGTGACGGTCAAAGACTTACTGTGGGTTCCTTCCCTGTGCCCTCTGTTTATAAGAGGGGAGTCCTATCCTTTTGTCAGATCTGTCCTGTGAATGCTCTGGCTTAGGAGAATGAGGTCTACATGCTAGGGCTACCCTTTCAGCAATTTCCAATATCCTTGATAAAGCTAACCATCATGCAAAACACTGGGCTTGTCTGGGACCAGACCATGAAGATACATGAGCTGTCCACAGTGAGTCCACAGGTCCTTAGTTAGTGAGTGCAGATTTCTTAACCCATCCAAGCCAACTCACCACTGGCTGGACAAAGCCAGCTGAATGACAGACTCTGGCCAGTGCCAAGTCCATGCCAGGTAATGTGCAAAGAAGTAATATGTTAATTTAAATGATTAAAATTTGAGTGTGTGGTACTAAGACACGAAGAAAATAGTAAGTCAAAATTTTGTTGTTGGAGACTAGATGGCTAGTTCCTTACTTTGCAGGGATGGTCTGGAGTGTCCGTGGCTGTCAGGAGTGTGCTAGCATTTATGCCAACGGTTGATTCTGATTCACAAGAAGAGCCTACCCAAGTGTAACCACAGGGATGGAAATCAATAGATTGTCACCCTTGCCTATGTCTAGAACTTAAAGTTGTGTAGCAGAAATAAACCCCAAAAGAAAAAACTGTCCAGAGTTTCTAAGTAAATATAGGAGAGGGAGAGTCATTTTTTTTCGGGGAGAGGGTATGACCATTGGAAGGTTGCTCGAGTCCCAGTAGATGTTCTCACACCCATCTGCACATGGGCAGCACTAATTAGAGTCAATGGGTTATTCTCTAAAGTAATTAAAAAGTTGGGAGGGAGATGTATTGGAAGGAGGCAGGGAGAATCAAGGAAAGAAGTAGGGGTGTATACGATAAAGATACGTGTATACATGTATCAATTTTTCAAACAATGAAAATAAAACCTTGGAGGGTGGATTTTATCTAAAAGATTCAATAGCTGGCTAGATCTTGCTGAAGGAGATATATTACCAGGGGTTGGCTTTGTGGTTTCAAAAGACTGGTGTCTTTCCTAGCGTGTCTCTCTGTCTCGTACTTGTGGACCAGCTGTTCCTGACACCATGCCTTTGTTCTGCCATCATGGGTGCTAACACGCTGAAACTGTACACCCAATTAAACACTTCCTTTTACAAAAGGAAAAAAAAAGCTTTGGTCATGGTGTTTTGTCACAGCAATAAAAAACTAAGATAGCTTGCCTCTTAAGGGGCTGGAGAGATGGCTTAGTGTTTAAGAGCACTTACTGCTCTTCCAGAATAAACAGGGTGGATCACAGATGTCTGTAACTCCAGTTTGAGGAAATCTATTATCCTCTTCTAAACTCCACAAACACCAGGCACATACATGGTGCACATACATACATGTAGGGAAAATAAATACATACAAAGTGAATCTAATTTAAAAAAAAAATCAGACAAGCAGGGTATGGAATCTACATAGCAAATTCCAGGCCAGCCAGATCGACATAGTGAAACACAGTCTTAAAAAAAACTATTAGGCCTCAATGGACCTTGAAGTCCCCTGCCTCATCTGACCTTCTATTCATATCATTCCCCAACAACCAAACTGATGGCCCGAATTTGGCACATTCAACCCTATCATCTTGTGGGACCTGAACAACATCCTCCAGTGAGATGACAGGTGGCTGAAGCGTCTCTGCTTCAAGACTTCTTTGATCTCCACTCCGGTTCATCCCCTCCCTTCATTTCTGTATACCAGGTGCTACAGGCTCAAACTTCTAAAGCTAGTCTCCTGAACTCTCCCTCAGAAACTGATCTGGAAGGTGAGTCTCCTTCCTTATCAAACTTCGTCTGAGGCTTCCCCCTCTCTCTTCATTGCACCCCCTTTTTCTTTTAGTCCACCTAACCACTCATCCATGGCCTTTTGTCTTGGTTAGGGTTTTATTGCTGTGAAGAGACACCATGACCAAGGCAACTCTTGTAAAGGAAACTTTTAATTGGGGATGGTTTACAGTTTCAGAGGTTTAGTCCATTATCATTATTGTGGGAAGCACGGCAGTGTCCAAGTAGGCATGGTGCTGGAAAAAGAAGTAAGAATTGTACATCTTGACCTTGAGGAGACTGTGTTCCACATTGGGTGGAGCTTGAATATAGGAGATCTCAAAGTCCCGCCCTTATTCTGACATACTTTCTTCAATAAGGTCACACTTACTCCAACAAGGTCACACTTCCTAATAGTGCCACTCCCCATGTGCCAAGCATTCAAACAGATGAGTCTATGAGGGCCGGACCTAGTCAAACCAGCACACCTTATATCAACAAATCTTCACAAGTCCTACAAAATCCCTAGAACATCAAACATGTCAGTGATTTTTGAGAATGAGGAACAAAAGGAGGATTTAGGTCATGGGGTTTGAAGCTGGTCACACTGCCCAGGTTACTTTCCTCTCAGGGGAGTATTCACACACATCTCTCTGTTTTTTCCACTTGGTTCGTGCATTTTTAACCTAGGTGTCAAGTTTATTTCTTCTAGTATTCAACAGCTCCATCTCCAAATGATGCTTTGCAAGTCTTTCAGTTTTCTATAAATCCCACTTGTAAGTATGGTTCTACCATCACGGTGCTCCATGAAGTGCCGGCCATAGTAAATAATCAAACAAAAAAGACATTGGAAAGGTCTGATCAGCAAGCATGCTAATCTAACAGAAGCTAGACAGACTCTAATCAACTCTCTGAGAGTAGGCTGTTGCTGCCGGGGGCCAGTGTGAGTAGAAGTTTACAACTGAGAGACTAGAAAGAGAACGGGTCCTTATCTGGAAATTTACACAATGGTTCAGAGAATGTCTCTCAGGAGAAAACAGGGGGTCCTCTCTGGATAAACCACAAAGGTGAAATTATATAAATATATGTGGTTAGTCAAAGTTAACCTCATCCCAGCAAGGCAGTTTAAAGCAGCACCAGCTACTTAGTTATGTTAAGCTGGCTGTTTTCTTGCTTCCCATGTATCAATACTGTTCTGATCATGGTGGATGCACTTGCAGCCAACCACCAAGGGCATGTGTGAGGTTTTATTGACACGTCATGGGCAAGTGTATCCAGAAAAGCCTTGGAAGAACTATTATTAATCATGCACATCCAGAAACATTTTACTGTTGCCAAATATTTTATGATTTTCCAATATTCCACATAGAGATTTCTAACTTGGGTAGGTAAATACACATTTCGTACCTCTATCTGCTGAGAAATGTAAATATCCTTGTGCCCCAGAGCACGGAGTACAGTTAGAGAGCTAAGACATCAAAGTCTCTAATAATAGGTTCTTGAGAAATGACTGGTTCTAGGGCTATGTAGTGAAAATTCAAGTTGAATCTGTACCATCTTGTGATATCAGAAAAGTCAAGAAATGCTTTTCAAAAGTAATAGGGATATATTAAAAGATCTAGCAGCTCCCAATATCCAATGTTTGAATACTGAGGGTCAGAATACTATTGTTAGATCATATCATGAAATAGAAAGTGTAGGAGGAAGGGCCCTGACCTAAAACATCGAATAATAACACGAATGGATCTGAAATAATTTTGGTGTATAAAAGAAGCCAAATTCAGAAGCCATGTTAAAACCTTCTTGCAGTTATTTGGAATTCTTGGGAAAGTAAAACTATAGTACAGAGAACAAATCAGCCTAAAGGGAGGAAGGGCAGGGAGGGAAGTGGACAGAATGAGAGTCATCAAGAATGAACTAAATACACAAGTCCATACTGATGTAGGCAACTCTGGATAAGGATACAAGAGCAGTGAAATGCTTCATCTCAAATATCTCAAAGCAACGGAAGACTGGATACAGAAACCATAATGAAGTGGGAAAGAAGCCTTGATGCCTGCAAGGACTTCTGGTATTTTGGATTTGCTCTTGAAGCAAAAATAGAAAATCACTGGAAAGAGGGGAAATTTGAATAAATCCTATAGTTTATTTCTTTTCATATTAAATGTTCCTCAGAGACATCATCTGCTAACATGAGTTAAATGTGGGTGAATGCTATGTTAATCTGTTTTTCCCCCTGCTGGGGCCAGATTTGAAGTTCATGAAGCTCAGGTCGTCCTTGAACTGGCTATGTAGCAGAAGATCTACGTATTCCTGGGGATTGTAAGCCTGACTCAGCTTACAATCTATCTGCTATCCTTTGAATGCTATTCAGCACTAGGTGTGTGGCTTCTCTCTCTTTTATCCAGAGAATATTCATGATGATCTTTCAGCTTAGATTACTTCCCAGGATTTTATATGAATTTGTTTCACATTCATAAACTAATTTATTTAGTTAAAATATTACATAATTCTCCCTTCCCTGTCTTCCCTTCTCTACCTCCTCCCTCCTCACCCCCACCTCCACAGTCTTTTCTTCTTTAACCACTGTTTTTACCTATACATATAAATAAACAGATAAATATAGCCGGCCGCATCCCTCCAGGGTTGCCTGCAGGTATTCGCTTTGGAGGCTGACCACTTGGTACTGGACAACTCACGGGGTTCATCCCTGGGGAAGATTAATTCTCTGTCTCTCAGTAGTTGTTGATTGTCTGAAACTCTTCATCTTGGGATGCTAGGAGAAAAACTAGGCCTATAGCACATGGCTAGTGAGGTCATGAATCTTATAGGAAACTCTACTATGCCAGTGTCCAAATTGTATCATTCCTAACTACATTCCCAATACTTATCATACCCACAGGTAAGCGTAGATCTCCTCCCTTAACAAAGACGCTTCTTTTTACAGCAGCTGGAGACCATTACCGTAGGCCACAACTTGTCAAAATACAGAGAACAACTGAGGGTAGAGTTCTCAGCCCGACTGATATAACACAACTCCTTCACCTAAGGCTCAGGCAACACTGTAGAAGACCTGGTGGAGATTTTAAGAGCCAGAGGACCAGGAAGTCTGACGTGAGATTGTGTCTTGTAGCTATGACAGGGATATGCCCATGAAATCAACAATGTGACCAAGTCCTGAACTATTCCAACTCCAGTTGACATTCTAACATAAATTTATTTCTTTCCTTCTTTTTGAGTGCAAAGAATATACTGACTTGATATCAGCCTCCAGGATACTGTCAGAAGGCTGGCTCTAGAGAGAAGTAATAAAGATACAGAAACTGTCATGGTGTACCAGAAAGCCCCATCCTGAGAAACGAGTCTGACAAGGTCGTGTTTACAGTACAAACGCCTTTACTTCTTACATAACGCAACCCTGGTTTCTAGACGCTTTCAACAGCATCATTTTACAATATAGAGTGAGACAGGGGCCCACTCTGTTTTCCAGGCAACACTCTTTCCAAACACTGGACCTGGAGACCCCTCTCCGAGCACCGTTGGGCGCACCGCCCCTTCCTCTGCGCATGCGCAAGCTGCAGTCCTGCTCCTGGTCCATCCCTGGCCTCGCGTCCCTCCTGGGAAACATTTCCTGGTCTTCAGCTCCGCTCATTGCGGGAGCGGCGGGTGAGCCCTAGATGGCATCAAGGGCGGAGGGTTCTGGGAGCTCGGGGCCATCCAGGTCGCTGTTGGCAGCAACCAGGGACCAGCGGGGGGCCTGTCTGGGGAAGTGCTGGGGTGCGTTAGGACGCCGGGGCTCGGGCTTGCGGGGTCCGGATAGTCCCGCACCTCTGCAGAGCTAATCTAGGGCCGCTAGCTCGTCCTGCGCGTGCTCATTTTGCGCACTAGGCGGGGAAGATGCGGGGTTGTAGGGCGGGACCGTGAGGATTTGGCGCACGCGTTGTGCGACCGTGACGTGATGACGCATGCGTTCTCTGGCTGCTGGGGCCAGATGCTCGGATGTGGGGGGCGAGCGGGCAAGCCAGGTCCCGAGTGTATGAATTACTGGGACAGAATAACCCACGCGAGACTCGGTTTCCTTTTGTGCACAGTGTGACAATTACGAATACTTGCTACAATTTTCTTTCCTTTTTTTTTTTTAAGATGTTACTACTTCTTGTGCAGGGAGTATCCTGCGGTGGTCGCAGGGAGCCCACCCTCGCTGGAGCCTTTTGGATTGGCCCCTAGGGCTCAGTGTTTGGAGTGGAAGAGGAAAGTGGTTAGCTACCACCAAGCCTCCTGCCCCTCACACACCCGGATCCCAGTTCTGAATTTGGTACTCGCCCATGTGTTTTGTGTAATGACACAGTATCCTGAAACCATGGAAGACTGTGTGCTCGCCGAAAGTCTGGGACAAGTTTAAGGAGAGAGGTGAGCTGGAGTTAAGAGGCAACCAGGCTGTTCATGGAATGCCATTTCTTGGAAAACGATTGGGGGTGAAAGGCTCACCAGCCACAGGTCCGGAATTGCTATCACCCGCCCCTACCTACACTCCTATGCATCACTCCTACCTTGTTGACTGTGGAGGGGCAGTCCCTTAGACTCTGACTCATCTAAAGGTGGCACGTAGGGAGATGCTGAGGGCCATGCTTTTCTGGTCATATGTGCCCATCGGACAGTATTGTAGATGGGTCCTGAGAATCGTAACATCTTGCAGGTTTATAGTGACACAACCGAGGCCTGCAGATGGTTTTACATTTTGTCTCTTTGAGATGAAAACGATCATTTTGAGAACTGTAAGCAATCAACTATGGAATGTAAGCAAGTACATTTTGAAAATTTTATCTTGCCTTAAAACCCCCGTTCGTTTTCTCAAGTTTTCTTGACTTATCTGACTTTAGGGGATTAACAATACCTCCTGATTCCCACCCCCGCCCCCCCCACCTCGCACCCTCCCCCCATCCTCCTTGATTATCAGTCTGGGCAAGTCCACAGTCCACTCTTTTAGATTATCATTAGTTGAATTAAAAAGATTGTCTCATCTTTTTAATTCTCCTGTAAGTGTGGTGCTAATGAGAAACATGTGTTTGCATTCATTCAGTGCAAAGTATCTAAACTCAACTTATGTTAGAGCCACACTTGAAGTAACACCTTGCTTGGAGCTGCATGCAGGCCAGGTCTTTCCTGACGTCATTCTTCCTTCTCCCTCAGCTTTCCCTCCACCACTCAGAGCAGAAAATGAACAAATCCCAGGTGAGTTTTTGGCTTGTTTATTCCCATTTTATTGTTTTGTTTTTCAGTGAAAAAGTAAGTCAGACAAAAGTTTACAGCCACAGTAAAAGTTTGAATCAGGCCAGTTGACTGAATTAGGTGGAAGCTTTTTAAAGTCACAGGAGTCTTAGCAGACAAAAATTTCTCTGTGTTTTCTGGTAGTCGCACTGAGGTGAATGTGATCTGTTGTCTACATCATTTCTTGTTAAAAACAGATACTAGTGCATGTCAGGGGTCGGTCTCAACACCAAGGCTCTCGCTGTCCCTCCTTGCCCAGGAACAGACTCGAAAGGAGATGCCAGCCCTATGTGTTCTCAAAGTAGCTCTCCTAAATGTTTAGCCAGCTCATTTGCATTAGGTAAATTTGCATGTGGGCAGCTTATGTTTATGCATTTCTTATTTATATTCGACCTGAAAAATAAAGCCATATTCCCTCTCCGCCATTCACCCAAATCAGTTCTAGAAAAGGCCACCAAGTCATCTTCCAGACCAGCCAGGGAGTGCTCTTGACATCACCTTTCTTGGCTGTCAGCAGCATTTGGTAGTTTTGACAGCGGACTGTTTTAAAGATGTGTTTTAATTTTTAAATAAATTGTTTTTCATACAATATATTTTTATCGCATTCTTTCCTCCCTCAACTCCTTCCAGATTCTCTTCACTAAACTTCATGTTCCTTTTCCTCTGCCAAAAAAAAAAAAAAAATCAAAAGAAACAACATCAACAAAATCCAAAAATCGAAAATAAGACAAAAGATAACAAAACAAACAGTACACATACACATGTGCACACACACATGCACAAGTCTGCACACACGTGTACACACACACATACCTGTGTGAAGGCATCTTTTCTTTTTGCCCCAGACATTTCTTTCACCCTTGACCCTCCGTTCTTTGTTTTACTGACAGGTATCACGTGTCTTCTTTTTTTCTTAATGGTTTCGAATTACTAATATACTAACATTTAGGATAGTATGTTCTAATAAAATTATAAAAATCTGAGCCAGGGAAAAAAGCTAATGCAAAAGATACAAAAGTATGGACTCCTTCCTCCTCCACCCTTCCTGTGCCCTGTAGGTGTGGTGACATCAATTATGTTGGCGCAATTTGGAACAATTGCAGATATAAATGTATGTTACTCAGTTACTCAAAACAGTTACTCAGTTTTGTAACAGCTACTTAAATAAAAATAAATAATTATTCATTCGCCGGGCGGTGGTGGTGTACGCCTTTAATCCCAGCACTTGGGAGGCCGAGGCAGGTGGATTTCTGAGTTCGAGGCCAGCCTGGTCTACAGAGTGAGTTCCAGGACAGCCAGAGCTAAACAGAGAAACCCTGTCTCAAAAACAAAAAATAAAAATATTTATTCAATTAAAATATGCATGACTTTCCTTATATATCCCTTCCCTTTATATTTACAGACCTGCTCTCAGGGCTTCTCAAGCTCAGATGCTCCTGGGAATCTACAGCATCACTCTAACATGGGTTCCTATACAGTAGATGTAGACAGAGCCTGGAATCTACCTATTTTCCTCCTTCCGTTTCTCTCCTATTCCTTCTTCCCCTCCTCCCTTCTCCCCCACTTCCTCCTTTTCTTCTTTCCCTTAGAGATTAAACCTGAGACCTTGAATACATCCAACAAGTGCTTTGGCACTAAGGTGCATCCCAGCTCCCGAGTTTTAAAGGGAAAGCCTTGCTGTGTAGCACAGGCTGGCCTTTAACTCATGACTTGCCTCTGCTGTTCTAATGCTGAGATGTCATGGACCACAAGCCCAGCTGGATTCTGAATTTCTGCAGTCAGATGCTTCACTACTGAGCTGTGCCCTCTGAATTCTGATTTTCTAATAAGTCCACAGCAGAATCCTGTCCTGCCGTTCTGGGACCACCTTTGGAGGGCAAGCCTATACACTGTATTTTCTATACTTCTCATTTCAGTTCATAGCATGTGCCAGAGGTTTCTCTGACAGTGCATAGATTACTTCTGCTGGGTGTGTTCTCTCTGTGTCTCTGTGTCTCTATCTCTGTGTCTCTGTCTGTGTCTTTGTCTCTGTGTCTGTTTCTGTCTGTGTCTCTGTCTGTCTCAGTCCCTTGTCTCTGTCTCTCTGTCTATCTCTCTGTCTGTCTGTCTCTCTCCTTCTCTTTCTCTCCTTTCATCTTTTTGTCACAATCCCATTACAGTTGGATATCCAACTGTCTGACATCCAGGTTTATTAAATTCCTGCTGTTCTAGCTGGGTGGTGGGAGCACAAGCCTCAGGAGACAGAGACAGGTGGATTCCTCTGAGTTCAAGGCCAGCCTGGTCTACAGAGCAAGTTCCAGGATAGTCAGGGCTACACAGAGAAACCCTGTCTCAGAAAAACCAATAAAACAAAACTGCTGCTGTTTTTTTACAGCTGTGCGCTAGCAAGTGCATGCATGTGTGCGTGCGTGTGTGTGTGTGTGTGTTCGCACACACGCGTGTGCACATGCACTCACCTGCTTGTGCATTAGTGTATATCATATTATTCATATAATCATGTTCACGAATTTCCAGAACTTGATCAGCTCTGTGGGCCTGCCTGTCTTGGAGTGACCATTTATAATCTCATTGGCCGTGCGTGAGAATACGTGTTTTTCTGGTAGACTTTGTGGTGAATTTTTTGGATTTGGAGGAACTGTGAGTAAAAGGTGATATTTCAATACAGTTTTCTGTACTCTGAGTGAAATTCCTTATCTTTTCATGTGTCTAATGGTGTTATCTTAGGGTGATAAAACACTGTGACCAAAGCAAGTTGAAGAAGAGAAGGTTTATTTGGCTTATACTTCCCCATCATAGTCCATCTCTGGAGGAAGTCAGGACAGGAACCCAAGCAGGGCAGGAACCTGGAGGCAGGAGCTGATGCAGAAGCCACAGAGTGTGTTCCTTACAGTCTTGCTCCCCATGGCTTGCTCAGGTCCACCAGCCCAGGGGTGGCCCCACCCACAGTGGGCTGCCTGACAGACTTCCTTACAGCACCATCATCTGGAGGCATTTTCTCCATTGGGGTTGTTCCCTCCTCTCAGATGACTCTAGCCTGTGTCAAGGTGACATAAAATGAGTCAGCACAGGTGTCTGTTTACTTTTCTGTGAGCTGTCTGTTACTACCTTTTGACCATTTTTCTCTTAGGTTCCTGGTCTTCCTCTACCTACTGTGTAGAACAGTGGTTCTCAACCTTCCTAATGTATAACTCTTTAATATAGTTTCTCATGTTGTGATGACCCCCAACCAGAAAATTACTTCATTTCTACTTCATAACTATAATTGTGCTACTGTTAGGAATCGTAAGATAAATATCTGATATGCAACCTCGCCGAGGGGTCGCGACCCACAGGTTGAGAACCATTGGTTTAGACATGCACAGGCTTGATTATGTGAGTTGTAAGTCGTTTTGTTCTGCTATTTCAGTGTTTTCTAAACAACAAAGCTTTTTTTTGTGCCTGTGTTTTCATTCATTTTCATACTTTTACGCGTCTTATGTTTAAATATTTAATTGACTTGGAGTTTACATTATAGACAGAAACTTCCCTGTTTAATTTAGCAGCATCCTTCCAGTCCCCTCTTTGTACCGTGTGTACAGTTGCCATCATGTCTCTTCCTGTCTTCTAAACTTACAATGCATCTTTGGTATTAGGATGTTAGAGTCACCGAGCTTTTTGTTTAATGGAATATTTGTTCTTGCCTGAATTTTTGTGCTTTCTACCAGTTTTATGCTTCAGCTGTGATAGTTTGCCTTCATCCCTTAAATTTTAAATTAAAACCATACAGTGGTTACTATTTGATACAACTTAGTTGGTTTTGGGTCAGGTCTTTATCTAGGGGATTTTGATTTTGAGGTGTAGTGTCTCTCATTCTGGGGAAATGTACAGCCATTCTTTCCTTTCAGGACTCTTGTAGGATTCCAGTCTCACTCATTAGCGCCTTCAGATCCTACAATATAATCCTGATGGCCATTTCCCCTCCCCCACCTCCTCCAGTCCTTCCTCATCTGCCCTCCCATCTGGATCCACTGTCTCTCTCTGTCTCTCATCAGAAAAGAACAGGCTTCTAAAAGATAACAACAAAATACAGCAAAACAAAATACCTTAAGATAAAACAATAGCCATTACATAGAAACTGAACAAGGCAAACCAGCAAAAGGACACGAGCCCAAGAGAGGGCACAAGAATCGGAGACCCACTCATTGACGCACTCGGGAGTCCCATAAACACACTGAACTGAAAGCTGTAATAGACACACAGGACCCGGTGCAGACTGGTGAAGCCGGTGAAGCCGTGTGATTGCTGCTTCAGTCTCTGAGTTCTTGTGAGCTTTCTTTGCTCAGTTGATTTAGAGGACCTTGTTCTCCTGGTGTCCTCCATCTGCGCTGGCTCTCACACTCTTCCTGCCTCCCCTTTCTTGGGGGTTCTCTGAGCTCTGAGGGGAGAGAGTAATGGAGATATCCTATTTACAGCTGTGTGTTCCAAGGTCTCTCTGCATGCCGTCTGGCTGTGGTTTTATGTATTTGTTCCCATCTGCTGCAGGGGGAAGCTTCTCTGATGATGGCTGAGCAAGGCGCTGATCTGTGAGCACAGCAGAATGTCATTAGAATTCATTTTATCACTACTTTATTTTTAGTTTTTATAACAGTAGTATTTGGTTTTTCCCTAGGTCTCTGGGCTATCTAGTCTTGGTTCTTGGTCACCCAAACATCATTGGGTATGGGTTTCATCTCATGGAGTGACCTTAAGTCAGATCAGACATTGGCTAGTTACCCCCACAAGCTTTGTGCCACCATTACCCTAACATATTTTGAAGGCAGGACAGATTGTAGGTCAAAGGGTTTGTGGCTGGCTTTGTGTTTACATGTCTCTTTTTGTAGCCCGCAGAGTACTTTCCTGTACTAAAGACACTATAGTGAAAGTAGGGATAGGTTCTATGTAGGCTCCAGCTCAGCCTCTCCGTGTTCAGTGAGTTGTGTGTATGT